GGTGGTCTCCCAGCTCAGCGCCTTCTGAAGAGCCATACAGTCAAATATCCTTCCGTACCACTAATGAATGCGCCCACCCACACTGGAGCTGGTGCCCCCTAAGAACTCAATTCAAGAACAACTTTTTAAACTCATAAATGAAATCAAAGGGTTCATTCTATGAGCCAAAGAGCTTACAATTTTAGGCGGGACAGTTAATGGGTGGTTACTATAGGTTGTCCCCTTGGTTTGCAGTATACAGTCTCACAAGAAAAAATAATAAGCAGGATACCAAATATGTACACAGCATTCCAATTAATAAAATTTCATCCTCCTCCAATGAATACATACATTGTTGCTGCCCTGGTTACTGTACAAAGCTTGAATGACTTGCCTAACATCAAGCAAAGGAACCAAAGTAAACACACAAGATGCTTGTTTACTTTCCTGTGCTCAAACAAGATTGCTTTCTAGATATTAAACAATTGCTAAGCAACCAAAAACCCTCAAATTGGCCATGAAAACTTGAGCAACAGCATCCAGAAAACAGTTTTTAAGATGACTGACACTAAACTCTCCCAAGGACCCCTGCTCTTGTGTGGATGAGTACTTGTCATTTCAAGTACAAGCAGTGAAGCCTGGTGGCGACGTCTGGAGAACTGAGTAACTCAGTTGTGCCGCTGAAGTGAGGTGTGGATCTAATCCTGCAATGAGGAGATGACTCCTTCAGAGAGGCCTGTTATAAAATTATCAAGTGACACGGGGGGTGGAAGGAATCAAGCCTGTTGTAATTGAAGTGACTTGAAATAATAAATGCACACACTTTCTTTAAACACAGCTTGCCACATCCTGAGAATCTGGAATCAATTCCTTCCCTTTCAAGAAGCTTAAAAGTGGTGGGACTTTGATATGGCATGAGCATGTTTGCTTCTGGGCTTACAGCCCTAGCCAGCCCGTTCCAAGCCTTTTAACGTTTTTATATTATAAGACAGAAAAGTTAGGAAAACAAAGATGGAAAAAAATAATCAGAAATTCAGGGAACTATTAAATCAGGGCAGCCTGGCTGCCAAATGCCTTTGGTAAGTAAATGAATCATGATCAATAACATATTGCCTTACAGACTTACAGAGAAGGTTATCACCTGCTTCTGTGCCAGACATAAAACATAATGGTGTGTGGCTAATGAAGTACTGCATGAATCCAGAGAAATAAAAATGCTGTTTTTCTTTGTAACATTAAAGCATTTTACCTCAAAGTAATTTTAACCCATCCAGAATAAACAAGATTTTCTTTTTCCATGAAAACTTTGTCAAAATTGATAGGTTACTGTGAAACACTTTTCTTTTGATGATGTTGCATTTATAAGAGGAAATTGTCTTGATAAAAGGAAACCTATTTTGTTAAGGGGATGTTTCAGCCCCAATTGTAAAGCTGCTTCCTTTATGTATTCATATATTTGCCAGCAGAGGGTATCACAATCTTAGAAACAGGTATATATGCATCGTTGCATCTTATCCTTTACAGGCAAAAAAAATCAGACATTCACTAAACCAAAAAATTACAAATCTTGTTTCTTCTGTAACTTTTGCACTACCAGAAAAAAAAAACACAAAAAACAAACACAGAAATCATTTAACTAATTAAAGGATGCAGACTCTGTTACCTGTGCCACCTTACCACCTCTCTCAGGATAGGGAATACTGCAATGACATGGCTAAGTGTTGGAATCATTTGAAGTCTGAAAGTGTTGCATGACCCTGACTGTAAACCGTCTTGGGAGGAACACCGCCTTGGTCTTATCTTTAGCATGCATTAAGTTCTCATTAATTCTCACATCCAGTATTCTCATACTGCACAAATCTCATTCATTATCCCAACCACTTCTTGCTACTTTTCAGCAAAGGGGTAATAGCCACAGGCTGTAGTGAGAGCTCATGTTACGCAGACCGCACGATCGCTGCTAAACCAGTATGCTATGAAGAATTATCATACATAATTACACTTAACTCACACTTCTCACAGCTACAGATAGGCTGATGCTACAAATTCCCAGTCTGATCTCCCACGCTTTAATGAATTCACCTCCCTGACTCCCAGTATAAGAGAACATAATTTAAAGAACCTGATGTTTGGTGATTTAACCTACTTGGTAGTCAGCACTCCCCTGTTCCCAACTAAAATAAATTACGATTGTATTTTTATAACAGTCTGTGTTCTGCTTTCTATTCTTGATTTATTAACAAGTCTTAATCTATTTGTGTATTTTGATCATGCAGAACTGCTGTCCCAGTCACTGGCATGGCTTTCCAGATTAACACAAGAACTTGAGTCAGCTGGAATTACGAGCTGATCAGAGGGTGACTGTGAGACATGTATTACATGTATTACCTTTTTCTGAGAGCTAGGGTATATGGGAACAGTTTAAGATTAACCACAAGCAGCAATCTCTTTTCTTTTTGGATGTCACCTGTTCATACGGACACAGGGAAAGGGACATTCATGTACATAAGCACATTTTATATTTATAAAATGCTTTCTATTATTACAGATCTATATACAACTATTTCTATTGTTATATAGAAACAATAATGCATGAGAACCTTCTGCAAAATGACATGCATCAGAGCAGGGCTAGAGCCCTGGACCCCTTTCTAATTGGTCTTGCAATTTAAAAATAAAAATACCCTTGCAATTTTAAAAAATGCCAGTCAAAAAGCAATAGGTTCACTAGGAAATAGGCATCCAGTGGTGTTGTCCTTTCCTTTTGTGTAGTCTTTTCACTGCTCAAGAAATCTAACACATTAACTCATTATTTGCCATCCAAATCAGCCTTCAGAATAACTGCTGTAGGTTCAGAAGAACTGGATAAGAAACTGGGTAAGATATCCCTGAGATAAGGGAAAATCTATTACTGCTTAGCCCTTGAAAACTGAAAGTCAATTTTCCAAAACTGAGATCTACTTCCTGCATGCCTATGGCGGGGGGGGGGACGACTAGATGATCTTAAGGTGCTTTCCAACCATAACCTTTCTATGATTCTATGGCATAAGTCTGCACTGATAGTCCCAAGGACTCCAAGGTCTTCAGGTACTTTACTCTGTTGATAGAAAAAGCATTTAGGTACTACTTATACTCTGCTCATCTCTGCTTTATTCTCCTTGCACTGCAGCACTCCAGCTGTAAAAAATTAAGCTAAAAATTTTCCACTGCTTCAAACACGGAAGTTGAGTATCAATATGTTTAGAGATTGCAGTGTGTCTGGAGATCACAAGATCACAAGCCAGATAACAAAAAGGAGTGAGGATGTTTGAAGGAAACAAAGATTGTTGTTCTACTGCCACTTAACACCTCTTCCCTATAGCCTTAGTGTGCATAATTGCCACTGGGAAGCATTTTCCTTTCATTTTTAAAAGTACCTAAACCAAGAGTCTGCTGGGCAGAACTAGGGAAAGTTCACATTAATCACACTGCAGCTAGTAAAAATGTGCAGACCTGGTCATGAGCACTTTGCAGAGTTAGATTCATTATCTTACAGGAGCAGATATATAACCTTGAATTCTAGCTCTGGTTACAACCAGATGCAGATACCATTTATTACTGGCTGGAGATGCCAGCCCTTATGAGTCCAGATTTGACTGTTGCAGAGTCACTAGAAGCAAAACATTGGGATTATGCAAGTGGACAGATACCTGTGGCTGTTTTAGAATGCAAGGGGAAGCGCAGATGAATTTAAGATTTACAGTTGCAGAGCAGACCATAAAAAATTTGTTTTAAATAGCCAAGATATTTTATTTTTGCAGTAACATCTATTTAGTCTAACTCTTCATTTATCTTCCTTTTACAAATTCCTACAGAGGTTAGCAGAGCATCCCATTAGCATTAGACAAAAAACCACAACTTTTTAGCATCCCTGAGAAGTGAAGCACTATAATTATTTCCTTCTGTTAACAACACAAAAATATTAAGGAGCAGATTGTTATCTGACATAAATCATCATTTACCCATTTTCATCTCATGGGTCAGCCCCAGGCAATGAAACATAATCACACAGATGAAAACTGTGGCAAAGCTGGAATCTGAAAAAATCTAGTCTTCTCTGAATGATACAATACAAGCACATGGTATTTAACACGCCTTAGGTCTGTCTGTGAAATTAGTAATACACAGTAAGATGTACATCAGTGAGTAGCTGCAAGTATTCTTTTAGATCATTTCAAGGGATATAGCAGTGTAAATCCATTAGCTTTCACCCAGGAAGAGGAGCTTAAACTAGCTGAAGTCTTGCCTTTCCAGGGGGAATATGAAGAATAACAGCAGTTTCATTAAGAAGACAGTGTAGGATGCACATAAATATGCATGGCATCCAGCTTCTGGGGAGTTCTTTCTTTTGACACACAAACATGTGAGGAAAAGTCTGAAGCTTACAGAGTGCAAATTACAATTATTAAAGCCACTTCTTTGATTTATTTATTTTACATTTAATGTCTTGCTGTAAGTCAGTTTACATGAGCAAATTAGCTATAACAGTGTAACATAATCCTAAGTGAGCCAAGAGTATGATGGCTAGATCCAACCAATTATGAAGGTTCAGGGCATGAGCTGCTCTCACCCAGTCATTCACTACTAAACTTTCAGTACTAGCACAGTTTTAAACCCAGTCAACACATATTCCTCTAAGAGGTGCCTGGGCAGAGTAGAGGAGGCGGTCAGACCACGAGGCACTTCTGGTAAGCAGTATGGGATCCTGTTCTGGAGGAGAAGCTGGCTCTGTGGACAGGAGCTGTGCCATGACAGTTGGTAAAGGCACTACTAAGTATTCTGCAGCCTGTTTTATTTATTATTATAGATGTAGTTAATGGACATGTGAATTGAGTCCAGTGAACCAATCATCTCATAGTGGTCAGTAGCAGTACCTGATGTCATGTGAACAAAGTTTACAATAAGACTATGGAAGAATGGCAAAATTATTACACATCTAAGCACACAAACTCCCTGGCACATTTAATAATGAACCTACTCACCAGCATTATCCTGCTGCTTGGTGTTTTTGATGTATGCAGAAAATTTGGAAAAGATATCAATTCCAGCAGTGTTTGATTCCCGGTGCTTGGCAGCCAGCTTGGGGTACCTAAAAAGGGAGAAGCAGTGTGGAGAATGACATCTTGTTACCAGCAACATAATGATGATTACAAATACAATTTGCAAGAAGAAAGAAAAAAGCCCTGTACGAGGAACTGCAATTAACACTGTCATTTCTCTCGAAACAGCAGCTTGGCAAGTCCCTCTTAATAATAACTGTGTCAAGGCAGGCGTTTGCATAGTTACAGAGGGATGGCTTCATCACAAAGGTAATTGCGCTGGTGCTTTATGTTACCACAATCCAAGATACAGTGGCCTTAAATCAGAAGGAAGCATACATTTCCAGAAAGGTGCAGGCAAGTTTGGCAGCCAGCTCTCTCCATTATGAATGTCAGTCGTGTCTAATTCCCTATACTGAAAATGTACTCCAGAATGTAATAGTGAGGCATATTAGTATTACCCAGGTGAAGGAACATAAAATTTTCAGTCCCTGAATTGTTTTTTATAGACATCTGGCACAAAGGAATACATCTATTTGAAAGACCAACACAAACGAATGACTCCTAGTGCCTTCAGTGGTCCTGGAACAGAGTATAGAAAATTTAAATATCTGATCTCTTGCCTCAGGACTGGCCTATAGCTGCTGATTCACTTTGAGGTAAAACACCCTGCAAGGAACCAAGCCAATTTTCATTGATTCATAGATTTTAAAGTCCAGATCACAAGCCAGCAATTCCCTTCCCTCCCTCCCCTCTCCCCGCATTATCCTTGTATGAAGTCCAAAACGTTGGACTAACTACGGTGTACCTGGCACATCTAAATCTTTCTTTGGAAGCTTGTTCCAATGGTTAATCATTCATACAGAACAAAATTGTGACTCCTTTGTAATCTGAATTACTTTGGTTATAACTTCCAGTCATGGGCTCTTGTCACTTCTTCACTAGAATAACAAGCACTTTTCTGCCTCCAGAGCCTCTCGTACTCTGTAATCAGTTCCCCTTCCAACCTTTCTAATACACCATAGAGCTCAGAAACCTCCAGTTTTTCACTGTAGAATGCTTTTCCTGGCACAGATATTTTTGTGTGGCAATTCTCAACATCTATTCCAAGTTATTTTTAGCTTTGTGAAATGTGGACAGCAGACCCCTACAAAATTTTTCTAGCATTGGTCTCCTTAATTCTGCATACAAGGGCATCCTGAAATGTGTACAGAGAAAACATTCTGCAGTTATTAGTCATACAAGCAATCTTCACACATGGAAGTCATCTCACTGAAGCCAGTAAGTTTCATAAATAAATATTACTCCTGTAAGTAAAGATTGTAGGATGGAGTGCTTTTTAGGAACTCCTCTTAAGACATCTTTCATTCCTAGGAAATGCAATACTGACTGAAAGAAAAATCGCAAGTTCTTACTTTGGAGGTGCAAGAGTCTCTTCCAAGAATTCCTCAATCTTGTTAACATCTGTCTTGACTTCTCCATTAAAAGTCAAAAAAGGTGGGTGGGTCCCAGGAGCCAGATTGTGCAGGTCAGCTGGCTTTCTGCAGAGACAGAAAAAGTCATGAAATCACTAACCTTTATGGCCAAGTATTTGCACAGACATGTATAGATCCTAAAAAATCAGTTTGTCTTTCTGGTGTTTGCCTTTTTTTTTTTTTTTTTAATCCAGTTTGTGGTTAGAAGACTTTGAAACTACCCCAAGTGCCCTGTTTAATATAAAAACATTCCACAAATGAAAAAAAAAAGAACCAACAACCCAGCCTGAATCCCAACTATTTTATTGTGTACCACAGACTCTCTAGGCTAGATACCAATCTGATTGAACCTGGGAGGGCCTTTCTATAGGCAAAACACTGGATCATATAACTATTTTCAATTAAACTGATTTGTACCTTTTCAGATCAACAGTGGTGACGTTGAACACAACTCCTTTGAGCCAGAGGATCATGAAGAGACGCTGGGAGAATGGGCAGTTCCCAATGCTTTCTCCATCTATCCCAGCCTGAGGGATGGAAAGAGAAGAAAAACAGATTTCAGACTTGTTAATCACTTACCTCCCTCAAGATGGAAAATTGGATGTTGAAAGAAAAATAACCACTTTAAAAATAACCATCAGTGCCTGCTATTTAATACAGTTTATCATCAGCACAAAAATGGAGTTACTCCAGGATTTGGCCATCATCAAGAGCTTGAGAAAGTCGCCTGAAGTTTCTCTTGAGGGGAGCTCTGGGTAAAGGAGGTGTGTCCCTTGCTGATGGCAAGCAGTATCCAGGAGAATATATTCTCTGAATTACTCACATCCCTACAGGACTGCTCACCTTGTGGACATGCTAGAAAATTCGGGACAGGTTTTCTGCTCTGTTTAATACTGTGGACTGCAGCTTGTATCAGCTCAAGGTCTGTTTCACTGTATTATGATCCAAAATGCGAATTTTTAGATTTAAATTTAAACCCAAGCACTCTGGACATTCACTCATTCCTGTTCATATCAGTAAAGCAACAGCCTCAGACACAAACAAGCAGATCTACACAAAATCTCTATTTGAATCCTTCCAAGGTTCAAAGCAGATTTCAGCCACCACCTTCAGTCCATTTCTACCTCTAGTATCTAATGAGCTGCTTACAAACCACTACAAAACAATAAAAAAATGCTAGTGTTAGCATTGAGGAAACAGCCTATTTTTTTCCTGTGAAAATTTATGGTCCTTAGGCATGCAAATCTTGACTTTGAGCCATGAAGGGATACAAATAACACTAGCTGAACTGAGCCAGAGCTGCGTCCAAGGACAACATCCTTCTACAATAATTATGCTTGTGGCCAAAGTTTTCAGGACGATAATGGTTTTGATAGATTTCCATTTTAATTTGTGGTACCATTGTGTTTAAAAGATTCTTTTAATCCTGGTGAAGCAACCAACCTTCCGTTGTTGAACCACATGGGTTGCATAACGGTATTTTATGCACACTGTGCGTGTCTGAAAACGGCTGATGAAAGAGCTAAGTAAATAGATGCCCTTTTCCTTTGGAGAAAATATTATATTACTCTGCTTGCTCTCATAAACTTTATCTTGTTAATATTCAAGCTGTGAGGTAGCATTTGTCTGTCTTAAGGAAAGAATCATTTCTAATTATTGCAGTTCTATGAAACATTCACAGCACAACAAGAAGCACTTTGAGATGTGTCCAGTTGCTACAGATTCAGGCCTTGCATCTGAAATGTTTAGCTGAGAGATTTTATGGATGGCATCAGGAATCTTTCTCATGTCTTGAACATAGCTCTTGATGATTCTGGGTTTAAAAACAAATTCCACAACTCCTACCCACCAAAACACAGAGAGACTGTGCAATCAAGGCTTGGAGACAACCCGCTGTGAAGTTTAGGAATATGTAAAGAGTTTTTCTCTGAGTTAAGACTGGTTTTAAGCACACAGATTCTAGGGGTATTTGGATATGGGGGTACAGTTTGGCTGTATTTTTACCCAGAATTATGGATCTGCAATATGCCTTGCACATAGCACATGCAAGAATCAGCAAACAATGGGGTGAAAGAGTGATATGGCGTGAGGATGAGCAAAAGAATATGCATTTTCCCATCTGCCTGAGGTGTGGTTAGCATAGTTCTGCAAAATTTCTCTAGTTAGTTAGCTCTGATCTTCAAATTTCATGGCAAAACAATGACAACGTTACAATGGGAATATCAGGCACAACTGTATTGCATGCAGTAATTACTGCAAAGTCATATTCATTGATTTGGCTTGTTAAACCATTGCCAAGAACTTTTAACTTCTTACCCTTCCTGAAAAGAGGCAAGTGCTATAGGAGAAAATACAACAATACAACACCAAATTTCTCTTTGGCTTTTTCACCATCTCAAATCATAATCATATCCTTCATAATGGAGCTGGCTAAGTGAGTCTAAACAATATATTATAAACCTAAAATCTGAAGAAAAACAGATCAACTACTGAATTAGAGGGCTAAAGACTGCAGACCAAACAAACGATTCTCATCTTACATGCTCTGTATTTACTTTGGCTTGTAAATTCATTGATTCCTATTCATTCTTCACCTGATTCCCTTCAGAGTGTATAACTCTGATTTGCCAAGTTCTTCAAACACCTTGAGAGCAAAGAGGTCATGTCTCATAGCAACATGCAAAGCTCTGGCCTTCCTTGCAGGTCTCCATCCTTCATAGAGGTGATCCCCCGCCTGTCCGCATCACCTACATCTTATGCTGCAAGTAACATCTTTTTTTCAGGAAAGGTATTTAGAGAGACCATTTCCCTGCTGTCTCCAATTATATATTCTCCTACAAAGGTTAAGGGTTACCCAGATCTGCATCTTTTTACCTGTTCTATATCCTGCAAGGCAATAGTGAAAAACCCTGTCAATACCAGAGAGGACTAAAGGGGCAACAGAGCAGCTGCATGGCAAGGAAGAAACAGGAGTGATGGGTCATGTGAGGCTAAGGGATGCAGAAGTCATTGGGGACAGGAGGAAGATGTGAAGTCTGGAAGAAATAAGATTCACTTGGATATCAAAACCAAAATTAATTGTGCAGGTCAAATGAGGCTTCCAACAGCCCAAATGGTCAAAATATCTTCCCAACACTTCCAAAGGAGTGGGAAACATTAATTGCTAGAGACATATTGGGAATAGACAGAGGAAATTCCAGAAATGAAAGATAAACTAAAGAAAAAGCATGGTATGATCTCTGTTCAAAGCTCCTGGATCTGGAAGCCAGGCTCATGATTTGGGTGGTGTCTGACTCATGGTTTTTGATCTCATGTGACTGGCATAACTGAAAATGCTACCACAAATCACAAGGCAAGCTGGTGACAGAGAAGGGAACAGAGTCAAAATCTCCCCAGCAACACAAATTACTCATTAAATTCAGCTCTTTTTCTGCAGATATTATAGTCAAGGCTCTGTTGGTTTTGTGAAATCTTTCTCATTGCTTCTAAGAGCAGTCAGTAGTTCAGTGTTCAGCACTCAGAAAGAGTAAAAACTTAGTAGATAATAACTTCAGAGACTTATCAGAGAGTCTCGAGACCCCTGTGAAGTATATTAACTACCAGGAGGAGATGAGGAAGAAAAGAGAACTTCCCAGCCTTAGTCACTCTTAGCTTCAAAGAAAAACAGCTTGCTTAAAGCACCCTACTAGTGCCCAAATACAAGCTTATTATGTATCTGTCCAAGCTCAGAATGCAGGAATTAAATAATACCTTCATCAAGAAATCAAACAGTGGATGGAAAGAAAAGAACAAAAAATTGACAAGTTAGAGAAACACCATTTATCCCTGCTATTATTCACAAATGAGCACAAAAGCTTTTCCACATAGCTTCCCTGAAGCACAGCAAAAATGATCAACTACATATAAAAAGGAGGAAGTTGATGATATATGCACTCTCCCTGACAGAAACACCAAATATTTCTGATTTAATGTTTGCACCTAGGGATAGGCTTGAGGCTTTGCAGGCACTAGGATCAAGGACATAGCTTTTAAACAACACTGTAAGTCCTAAAGCTGTGACAGGGTTTCAGAGCCACTTTTTTCCTACAGAGAAGAACCTAATCTGAAAAGGCAAATCCCCAGAGTTGACTGTGGAAGAGTAAACCAGACAGACGTATCTGCTAGGTGAGATTCTGGTTAATGCTTATCCCACTGAACTTTAACTGAGATGCCTAAGGCCAAGGCCAGCATGTACACCCAAAAGACTCACCTTTCACTTTGACTGAAAGCAATCAGTGCCTGAATTCAGGTGTGATGAATGTGGACCTCAGCAATAGAATAGCCTGGAGTTTGTGGAGGCAGAATTTCTAGAGAATAAATGTGCTCCATCTTAGAAACATCAGTTTCTGCTCCCATTGCTTCTCACAAGCTCACTTGCATTGGTTCACCTACTAAAAAAATAAAAATCCTTTTCTACTTCTTCTCCAGCCATTTAGATACTTCACACCAATTGATGCAAGGTCCTGCCCTGGAATTCGGTGTAATCACATCAGGAAACCTCCACCATCATACCAGCTCCTTGTTTCTATCTGAGTAACGGCAAGAACGAACAAGACATTCTCCTTCACTATTTACAAGGTACTCCTCCTTAAATACTTCAGCTATTTTTAATGAATTAATTAAACTTCAAAGATATTTGTGTGCACAACTGGGGGATGTATGAACACATTATCAAGGAACACAATTAAGGAAGGGGGAGGTAGTCTTGCTGATGAGTTTGTGCCAAGTACTTTTGTAAAGTAGAGGTAATATTGAGAGCATCCAACCGCTGCCCAGCACAGCTGAATGCCATGAATAGGGAGCTCTTCTCAAGTTCCAGCTAATGCTTTGCCACAAATGAAATAACTGGAATAAGCTTCCTCACTTGTTCCAAAAATACACCAACACAGTGACTGCAATGCACAAAGACAATTCTATATTATTTTGACTAACCTTAATGGGGGTGGAAGAGAAGGGAAGGAAAGTAAGTTTCATTTCCAGTTATTTCCAAAATACAGCAGCTTTAAAGAAATATACTGTCATTAACAATGACTAAGCACCTAGCTTAAAAAAGGCAGCCCTGGAAAGGGTTCCATATCCGAAAGCACTGTGTTTTCTCCAGGAAACCTGGGTTTACCCATTCTCCTCCTCCTTTCCATTTTCATTGCATTGAGGCTACTCTGCACAATGGTCCAGTACCCTCTGAGACTCTGGGGTGAAGTAGGGAGACATTTTTGATGACACTAAAGCACATTTCTTTTTCAAAAGGTTTTTAACGAGTCAGCAAAATCAGGAAGGCAAACTTACCTCAGTTTCCCAGTAAGGATTAAGGAAGGATTTGATTTCATCATCCTTACAATCAAAATCTAGACTCACATTACACACGGTTACACCCTCCCTTTTAAAATTGGGAAAGCGCCTGCGTTTTGACACTTACTCTCCTTACACTCAGAAGCCAAAGGGGAAGTGAAAATCCTATTTGAAACCCAGAGCAGGCCAGGAAATATCC